TTTATACCCCTGAGGTAATTATAACTTTCGAGTTCTTCTCCACCAAAGTTGTCTCCGATTGCAGCATATTCGCTCACATGATACACCTTCTCATCGTCAAACCGCATCCTGCAGCAGCAGCAGCAGCAGCAGCAGCAGCAGCAGCAGCAGCAGCAGAAGCAGCAGAAGCAGGAGCAGCAGCAGAAGCAGCAGCAGCAGCAGAAGCAGCAGCAGAAGCAGCGGCAACAGCAGCAGCAGTAGGAAGAGGAGGAATATTAGTAGTAGTAGTAGCAGCAGCAGTAGCAGCAGCAGCAGCAGCAGCAGCAGAAGCTGAGTTGCATCCAGCAGAGGGAGACGATAGGGGGACGAAGACAAGACAACAAACAAGGAAGAGACAAAAAGGAGACAGAAAGGAGACAAAAAGGAGACAAAAGGAGACAAAAGGAGACAAAAAGAGACAGCAGAGGACAAAAGGAGACAAAAGGAGACAAAAGGAGACAGAAGAGAGACAGAAAGGAGACAGAAAGAGGAGACAGAGGAGACAAAAAGAAAACAAAAAAAAAACCAAGCAGAGAGAAAAAGACAGAAAGAGAGCGAGAATACACTCCCTCAAACCCCCAAACCCTAAACCCTAAACCCTAAACCATAAACCCTAAACCCTAAACCCTAAACCCTCACCACTGTGTGCCTGGTGCGGGTCTAACAAAGGAGTAGTAGTGGCCTGAGTTGACGTCTCCCTGGTGTACAGACACCGAGTGCAGCGTATACACCCCAGCACCCTCGCAGAACTCGTTCAGGTCTAGCTCACGCTCAAACTCATACCTACACACAAACCCTAAACCCTAAACCCTAAACCCTAAACCCTAAACCCTAAACCCTAAACCCTAAACCCTAGGTGATGTATACACCTTTGGTGATAAACATGAAACACCCTCGATCAGATGATATTACAGGAGAACGTTAGTGAGGCTTCATCGGGCTAGGGTTTAGGGTTTAGGGTTTAGGGTTTAGGGTTAAATGTAATTATATAAATGTATTTAGGAAAAAAAAGAAATAAACAGAAACAACAGAAAAACCATAACAGAAACAACAAAAAAAAATAAACAAAATAAATAAAACAAATAAACAAACGGCTAAACAAACAACAAAAAAAAAAAACAAAAAAACAAACCCCCCCCCACC